CCATGAAAGTACTTCGGAAAAAAATATTATTTATTATTGTATTAACTTTATTTTATTTATGACCGTAGTGTGGGGTATGTTGTATTTTTGACATATTTCTCTAATTTTCGCACCTTTATTTAATTCATTTATCGCTTCTAACACATTTTTCTCCTTATAGTTAAAAAATGTTCTTTTTGGTGGCATTGTGTATAAAAAAATGTAGGTGGTCAGTTATTGGAATAAATCCGTGGTACAGATACTATCAGTAGTAAACCACTGGTCTACAACTGGAACATTGTGAATAATGGTATTCTTTTTGTTATAATATTTTATTGCAACATAAAGTAAACCTACATGTAAGAGAAAAAAGAAAAAAAATATCAAAAAGCTAAATCACCAGTTGTAGACCAAATGGTATATTACTGGAAAATCATTCAATTCGTGTTCCAGTAGTTTACCAATGGCGATTATTGATTTAAATTAGCATTTTCAGATTAAATAAAACGTAATATTAATACTTTACAGTGCATAGTACGCAATTGATTAGAAAAGCGGTTACAGAAATTGATATAAACAAAGATTTAAACAGATTTAAGAAAACTTTCCGTCGACGTGTCGCTTATTAGAATGGCCGCTCGAAACGAAGTGCACGATTGTTGTTACGAATTTTGCTTTAAAAACTGATGTGGATGGCGAATTTGTCGGTTTTTTTAACAACTATATGATTCGTAGAAGTACGGACGTTCTATCAAATATAAAAAAAGTGGCGGAAAATTCGACAGAACGTTAATATTTTAATGTGAAAGTGGAAATGGTGCACTACTGGTACCTGGTGCGGCACTGGTGCACCCACCCTATACCGAAAAAAATACCGGTATTTCCTACACCTAGTACTATATATTTTGAATACCTCCGTATATGTAAAAATGGTGATATTTTTCACTTCACTTCAAGTGGAATTTATTGCCTCGGCATTAAATTTTGATACATAAAATGCACAACATGCACTCCATTCCTTATTCTTCTCTGTTCTTCTATTTTCTTTGCTTTTTATTTTTTTACTTGACCTCTCTCCAGTTTTACTATTTGTAGTAACATTGCAAATGTCGACACGAAAACACTCTTTTCACCTTTCCACCTCCGGCGCGCCCAAAAATTCGCCGCGTATTTTTTGCGCGCCCGCATTGTTTCCACGCTCTTCGAGCCTCTCCCACTACGACAACACGTCGTAAAATGTTTTATGTACGTCCGCGACGTTTTTCTCCGTTTGTTTTTGCGATTTCCTTAGTTACACCTTGCGCTGGACCACTGCGTATGAAAAATAAACGCCGCGCGTAAAGTGATAAAGTACATTTTTGGTCGGACGTATAATTTTATTGCGCCGCGAATTTATGCACGCGAATGGGATAAACGGCCGCGTCGGGGTGGTTTTGTGTCCGGTACTTACTTAAACGTTTTTCTAGAGGGCGCTTAAACTTTTATCGTTGTTTACAAGAAAAAAAATTATATTTTTTGAAGTTGCTCAATATTTAAATAAAAAAATTTTTAAATTTTTTAATTATATATTTTATTTGTTCCTCTTTCACGCAAAAACTATTGATGCAATTTTGATAAAACTTTTCAGTTTTATATATTATTAAGTAAAATAAGATATAGGCTACTTTTTGTCGCAAAAATTTGATTTAAAGGGTTAAAAATAGGGGATGAAAGTTGATATAATGATTTTGTCAATAAAAATAGAAAAATTTGGAGTTTTAAGGTTGAATTATTTTAAAAAATAATAATATTTACAAAAATAAACAAGTTTTCACTAATATTACAATTCAAATGTCATTTTTTAAATTTAATTGTATGTTTGTTCATCTTTTACGCAAAAACTGCTGAAGAAATTTTGATAAAACTTTTCAGTTTTATAGATTATTAAGTAAAATAAGATATAGGCTACTTTTGTCGCAAAAATTTGATATAAAGGGTTAAAAATAGGGGATGAAAATTAATGTAATGATTTTGTCAATAAAAATAGAAAAATTTGGAGTTTTAAGGTTGAATTATTTTAAAAAATAATAATATTTACAAAAATAAACAAGTTTTAACTAATATTACAATTCAAATGTCATTTTTTTAGTTTAATTGTATGTTTGTTCATCTTTTACGCAAAAACGACTTAAGCAATTTTGATAAAACTTTTCAATATTATAGTTTATTAATCAATATAAGATATAGACTGCTTTTTGTTGCAAAACCTAACCTCAAAAGGTGTTAAATTAAGGATTAAAGTTAGTTTAATCATGTTCGACACATAAATTATCTAAAAAACAAGAAAAAAACAAATTTTTATTAAAACCTATTTACTTCATGCAAATACTTAATAAAACTAAATAAAACGCATAAACGCAATGTTTATGAATGTTGTGAATACCCATTCAAGCAAGTGCTTTGTAGAATATTGAATTTATTAGCATGCCTTCACGCCAATGTTCGGAATTACCGCTTACATCCCTTATAACACGGATATCCTCGTCGCAACGATCTCAAGTAGCCAAAGCGCGCAGCATCGCGTTACAAAGCATACAAGCACACTGCTGCTGCGCTCATACACTGGTTTTCCGGCTGCCGGAGAAAAGCAATAGACCTCTCCGCCAAGAATGCATTACGCTGCATCAATTTCGGCCGGCGCCCTTTCGTTTTACGAGCGCGCTGCAGTTTCGGAGTCGAAGATCGTAAACCACGCTATCGCTCTACTCGTACAAGCTTCTTCTCGTGGCGGCGTCGATTCGTTTAGGCCGCGAATCGAAAAGCGTAAAAACTTGCAAGCACTGCACCAGAAACGCAACTAACCTCAAAATCTTGGGAAATAAAATTACTGACAGTGGATAAGTAAAGATCATGCTTGAAAATTGCAGGAAATAAGAAACCGGAAAACCGGAAAACATAAGACGCAAAGATAATTTTAAGAAAATAAAGTTACCAAGAGTGGATAAGTAAAAATCTAAACCAAAAAATGACAAAAATTGCAAACCGGAAAACCGGAAATCAATAGATGTAAAGCATTTATTCTCAAAATTTATTAAAATAAAGTAAAAAATTAAAAATCATACCTAAAAATGATAAAAAATAGCAAACAGGAAAACAGGAAAACGGTTAGAAATTTTTTTATCAGCATTATTTTTATGAGGTCACAAACGTGCGCAATCTACAAGTTGTAGATTTTTAATTCCGCTTTGTGTGCACAGGAAAAATGCGCCGCGTCTAAACACTAAAATTTACATTTTAAACTCTGACGCAAATCTTCGAGTCCTTTGAGGCTTCAAAGTCAACGCGGAAATTATGCATTCACAAGTTAATTCCGTGCATTAAACACCGGAAACATCAAAAACGTAATATTTTACCAATACAAAGTGTTTTAAACCACCAAACCACTAAAAACACTTTTAATTTCAAAACACTTTGTATATACAAATCCTAGATAATAAAGAGAACAAGTTTCGGTGGTTTTCGCCCAAACTCTGCAGAATTCATATGTTTGCCGCCGTTTTCCGGCGTTGGTCTTTTCCGTTTTCCGCTTTTCCGTTTGGTGCGCTTTGTGCACTTTATGCAGTTAGCTCTGTTGCGGTGAGCGGGTGCGCGGGCGAGCATTAGTTGGCGAGTCTTGTAACACGCCGGAACCGGAAGTGCAAGACTGATGAATATGCAAAAACGAGGGTATCTTCGCGGCGAGTTGTAAAACGTATGAAACGTATGATTGTACGACGTGTACGACATGCAGCCAGTTGAGCTTTAAAGCTGCAAACAAGAGTCTCGTTTGTAAGTTGCACTGGTTGCATAATCTCAACAACTTTAAGTTTTAAATTTAATTCTATTTTAAGTTTACTTATTAAATGCAATTTTTTCTTTTTTTTAGAGAACCGGAAGTGAAAATATAAAACCGGATGTGAACTGATTTTTGTTAAAAAAATATTTTTAATTATTTTGTTATGAAAATATATTTTTTTAAAATGATAAAACCGGAATTTCGAAACCGGAAGTGACCGGAAGTGAGAATATTTTGTGTGAAAATTAATTTAAAACACTCAATATAATATCAAAGTTGGATTTGTTTGCAATTTTATCCCAATTTCCACCCAATTTTCTTGTCGATTGTTAAACTTTATGTTTTCGGCGCGTCGTTTGACGACAATTTGCGGTTTAGCCTAAATATAACGTTCATTGAAGGGTTTCCGACCTTTTCCGCACCTAAATTGCCGAAATTCCAAAACCGCCGACGCAAACTTCTAATAACAATAACGAATAACCGTTTGGCAAACACCTCGACGCCACTTCTAACGCGTCTTCATTCTTGTTTACGATGAAAACTTACTCCTTGATTCTTATTCATTGAAGCAGTCAAAGTCAGGGACGTTTCATGAATAACATTAATTTTGTTTTCATTCAAAAAAACAACAAAAAATCAAAAAATTAAATTAAATTCGAAGAAATAATAAATTAATATTATTTCTTTTTGTTACAGGTTAATCAACTAAATCAATTTCTAATGGTGTTAATCACGTGGTTGGATTTCTCTACGCAGCGTAAAAGTTTAAGTTTTGGCGTTTCTTTTACGGTTTACAATGCCGTCCAAGTTGCGCCGGCACGGGGCGAACGTGACGCGCGTACGCAATCGATTTCGCGAAATTGATCGCCGCGGGAATGCGAAATAATTACGCCAACTATTTGAACGCCCGCAAGAAACTTTGATTCAGTTTTGTTTCCACCGTAAACCAACAACAAACAATTGTAAAGAAGCTAAAAATAAATAAAAACAAAAATAAAATTAAAAAATCGAAAAAAGTTAAAATTTCATGAAAAAAATTGAATTTAAAAAAAAAAAGTGCGTGTTTAGCAATATTGTGATGCCGGAAATAAATTGGAGTGATTAATTCAAGTGCAATTGATTGGAATACAGAAATAATCTAAGATAAAAATAAGAAATAATAAAAGAAAGTGTGTCAGAAGGTAAAAAAGTAAAAAAGATCAAACTTGGCGGAAAAGTTGGGCGTAAAACTCGACAAGGTTGAAATGACGTTAAATCACAGTAAAACTTGGCCGGTCAGTACGCTGGCGGTCGTTCAATTACGCGTCGATCCGAATGGCCGGACGTACAGTACGCAATTCGACGCTGATCTTGTCACGGACTTCCAGATTCCTCAACAGGGTGAAAATGAGGTATGAACGAAATAAATATTGTCTATAATCAACAAAAAATGTTATTTATATATTATTACATGTTATTTTTCAAATTTTCTAAAACCGGAAGTGAAATAACAAAACCGGAAGTGGACAAATTTTACAATAATTTTATTAGTTTTGAATTTATTTTCGATGAAAAACAAAAAATAATAATTTAAAAACCGGAAATGTTCATTAAAATCATTCATAAATGATTTATTAATGTTTTTTGTGTTTTCATTTTGTTTATTGCTTTTTTCAACAAAAATTTGTTGCTGGCGATTGTTGAAATCTCCGAAATGAAAAAGTCTGCTGACAGCATAAAAAGTAACAAAAAAAAAATCAACATTAAATCGTGCGGAGATTTATGGCCAATTTTAAGTAAGGGGAATATTTTCCGCTTCCGGCGAATGTCAAACGTCAGCCGGCGTCAATCGACAACGGGCACAAAGCGCACTGCAACGCTCACGAAAGCAAATCGTCCGGAAACTTTTCCATCATGACATATCTAAAATTAAAACGTAGTTTCTATCATCGCATTATCAACAAAATTATTGTAATTTTAGTTATTATAATCAAGTAGTGTTTTGTCTGTAAATACTCCCAGTATAAATGGTCGCATGCCGGAAAACGCCAGTAACATAATTTCATAATTACACTCGCACGCTCGCTGCGACATTAATTTTAACGAGTTTTCGACTATTAATTCGAAACATCGCAACGAATCTTGAGCGCTTAACTACTCTAATTGCCTCGCAACTCGAAAATAACATTAATTTGTTTACAACTCAAAGAGACTCAAATTAAAGTGTTTCATTTCTAACGTAAAAACACTGAAATTCTAAAAAATGTAAATGTATTATTTATGTTTAACAGTTGAAAAATGACGAAGCAGGAAAACCGGAAGATGTCGGAACAACGAGCCACGAGAGACTGCCAAACGGCACAAGCAATGGCTGTGTGTCGGCGGCGGCGATCGGCGGCAAAAACGGCGGCGTTCTTACGCTGCCGCTCTCCCAGCGGCACGTCGAACTTTTTACCGTCCAGGAGCAAACGACGCGTGACCGCCCCGGCATCGTCTTGCGCCACCCGTACAAGAATACCGTGCGCACTGATACTGTATCCACGATTCTCGAACAGGATAATGATAACAACGATGTGGAATCTATTACGTCCGTTCCACAAGAAGGTAAAACAAAACAAACAAAAAAACAGAAAAAAATTAAAATTTCAAAATCAAAAAAATAGTTCAGATATTTAGTCATAGATGGCGTTGCAACTAAAAATGATTTTTTAATTTTTTATTTGTACTTTTAATGCGGTTTTTAAAGACAAAAAATTATACTTTAAACACGACCGTGAGTAAAGTACTTTACTCGTGACTAAAATGTCATTTAACGCACTTGATACATAATATATTATTTTATGAAGTTTTCTTCAATGTAATGTGTGTTGCAGATGTTAAAACCGATCAAAAATCAAAATATGAGAAATTTCATGTGTTGGCACTGGCAAAAATCGAAGAAACGAATGAAAGTGTCACCGTGAAGACTCCTACTGTAAAAGTAGAAAACTGGGATTTAATTTACAACGATCCTGTACTAAATGGCGGGCGGAAGTTGTGTCCGGCTTGCACGGCGGCAGCGGCTGCAAATGGTCAAGCTGCCACGTCCCCAATGGAACCCTACAAAGGGAGGAATTCTCCCGGTGATTACAATGACAGATTATTGGTGGATTTGCCACTGGACGCCCGCAAGGTCAGTAATCCTAACTATTTGACTCACAGAGAGTTTAATTAGGAAAGTTTTTGGAACTAAAATTTGTGTCGTTTGATATTATTGATCGTTTTTATAGGTTATGTAGTGTTGAATTTTAGATTAATATGTGATTTTGTTATATTTTGAAGGCGACTACATTGCGAAGACATTACTACCCCGAAGGCGGCTGGGGGTGGGTGATAATCACGTGCACGGTGTTGGTGCACGTGTTGAACGTGGGGCTGCAGTTGTCGTGCTCGCAGTTGGCGCCAGCAGGGGCGGAGAAGTTCAAGACGACGCAAGTGCACATTGCAGGTTAGTGGTTCATATTATTTTCCGGTTTTCCGGTGTGTAAAATGGTTTCGTGTATTTGTTAAAACACAAAAAGTAAATAATTTGTTCTGAACAAAAGAACAATTCACAAATTGCTTTGTTTTACAAACGTTTTGTACAAACGAACAAAACCGGAAAAAGCCTCAGGCTTTTGTTTTTTCTGTGGAAATCAGTGGAAAATAGGTGTTTTTTTTTTAAATTTTAATATAAAAATGTGTTAAAATTGTTTTTTTGATGTTTTAACCTCAAAATATTTAATTTAAATGGAAATATTTGAAAGAATTTGACTTTTCGAGATTGTAGTTATTGAAATTTCTTTGTAACCACCGCCAACAATAGATTCGGCTCAAAGTGAGCATGAGCATGGGAATATAAACGCAAAACGCAAAACGAAAAGGATGAAAAGCCGTAAAACTAGTTCAATAGAATGCAACCATTGTGAAGCTGGTTGCCTCTACAATCGAATCAAATTCGTGCGCATATCGCACCTAATAACGAACTCCAAACCTAACCTAATTCCACAGAATCCCAATGCAAATCCAAAAACCAAATTTTACACTTTCACATTCCCAATACAATCAAATCTAACCTAAAAATTACAATACATTAAAATTTAATTAATTAATAATCCATTAAAACGTTACACAAAACCAGAAAAAAAAAAAAAATAAAACAAAAGTCGCACACGAATGATGAAAAAGCACAAAAAAATAAACAAAGGTTAAATATAGGTAGCGTCCGGTTTTCGGAATTAGCTTGCATGCGACCGACCACAGCGGGTGCTATCATTGAACCATAATAACAATAAAAGTTCGACCCAGATACACGCCGCACGCTAAAAAACTCCACGAAACACAAAACGGAAACAAACTCATATATATTTTAAAACATCCAACAGCTCTCACTGTAGTATTAGTTGCCTATATTGATTTTCAAAACTTTAGCTTTCCCAAACACACTGTGTTGAATTAAAACGCGTAAATCGGGCACTTTTGTTGTGCATATTCCGTTATTGTATAAACTATAGCGTTTCCATTGTGTTGCGTTTTATTATTCAACCAATTGGCCTTCGTTCGTTTTCGTGTGTTTTGTATTTTCATGGCGGCCATGTGCATCTGCATGCCGCGGCCATTTTTATCCCGTAACTTGTCAGTCTACTTTACTACTATTTTACTACCGGTTATTACTTTTACGACTATTACACATATCTGGATGGATTTATAACAATGTAAAACATTTTAGTGAATTTTTTAATCGCTGGAAAAGATCATGAATCATTTTGATGAAGTTTTTATTTAATTTTTTATTTTTTGTGATTGTGGATAGGTATATTAGACTAGCATTCATCTGTGAATTGCATAGATGAATGGTCCAGCGGGTGCGGGTTTGGCAGGATATTCCTGATGTCGATTTATGACCGAAACATTTTCTCGCTCGCCGGATTTATTTCCTTTTTGCGCGTCGCATGACAACGGATATCAAGCGTAATGCAATCAGATTTTACCGTCACAATTGACAGAATTATTCTTTAGGACTTATTACATTACAATGAAGAACATTTTGTTAAAAACTTGAATCACAGATGGCGCTACTTACAAATTTAGTATGTTTTATATAAAAAAATAAAATATTATGTAAAATTGAAATTAGAGATAAAGACATTTTTGAGTTGAATATGTGTATATAAAAATACCGGTTTTAAAAAAAAAATACCGGTATTTCGGTATACCGGTTTTTTATGTTTCAAATACCGGTACAAATTTTTTTAATCCATATTTTGATACACCGGTAAAATTTGAATGCAAAACCGGTATTTGACCAAAAAATATTTGAAATAATATATATAATAATAATATATTAAAAAATTTACCGGTATTAATACCGGTATTTTCACCCCAAATTTAAAAATCTCATAAACAGATGGCCTTATTTACAAATCCAACAATTTTATCAAAAAAAAAATCCAATCCCGCTGTTTTTTAAAATCTTAGTCCCTCTTATGATTGTAATTGCGCACAAAGTACCCACTGTTGATAAGATAACACCGAAACCCATTTGAGCTAAACGTGTCACTCGCCAAACAGAATTATCACAATGCGAGATACTACAATCGTGGGAAAGTCCACAGCCTCTAGATAATCACGAGCATCGCTCTAATGAGGTGTGACTTTTGAGGTTATTTCACATCTATCCCACTAGTCAAAGTGTTAATTAAATTAAATCAGTGCACACAAATGAGTCGAAGACCATCAACAGGTAACAAATGGCCACATCGGTTCAGTAAGCGGAAATCATCACGTACAGGTGATGTGAATATGCAACCGAACGGCCATGAAAAGACCGAAGAAGAGCAAACCATACGTATCACTGTTGTGGGTGATGGTCACACCGGGAAGACGTGTTTACTCATCGGGTACAAAGATAAAGTGTATAATGATGTTTATATTCCTACTGTGTAAGTATTAAGAGAGAAAATTTGTTTTATTTGTGATTACGTCACATAATGTGGAGTATCAGATGTAATACTGTGTTTTATACACTGAAATGTTGTAGATTTGATTCGTATTCTATGAATATCCCTATAAACAACAAGAACTACAGATTAATCCTGCAGGACACAGCTGGGCAGGAAGATTATGATAACTTAAGACCGTTAGGTTATCCACAGGTATGTTGTTAATATAAAAACTTAAATTTTTGTTTATTGAGGTTATGTTGTAGACTGATGTGTTTATAATTTGCTACGCCATTGACAGAAAGGATTCTTATCAAAATGTTGAGTTTAAATGGGCTAAAGAAGTGCGTCATTACTTAAAAAAGTGTAAAATTATTTTAGTTGGTAAGTGTAGTCGGAAACACAACTAACGCCATCTATCAATCAATCACTAAAGTTTTATTTTTATTTTTATTTTGATTCATAACCTTTATTAATATAATAAATATATTTTAGGTACAAAATGTGACATGAGAGATTCAATCGCAAATTCTTTAAATTTCCAAGATGGATTAAACATGGCTGAAAAAATCCGCGCTGATGATTTCATAGAATGTTCCGCTAAGGAGATGTACAATGTGGATCAGGTGTTTAGCATGGCGATGATGGCGTGCGTACAGAAACCTGCAATGCGGAAACAGAGCAAATGCGTTTTATTTTAAGTTTTATTATTTTATTATTTTATTATTATATTTATAGTAATAGTAAAAGTAATGGATGTGTGTACGATTAAATATTATCAGTTGAACGTTGTTTTAATTGCGTTCCGTGGTGATTGTCATCTGTTTTCGAATGCTTTGGACGTCGCCTTGCCTAAATCCGGACCGGGGGACATTTAATGGCATTAAAAGAAACGATCGCGCGCGCGGAAATTAGATTTGCGATCTTTGCTCGAAGGAAAACTACCAACTACGCCAAGAAATCACTGATTTCGCCCTTCGATTCGCCTCCCACGCGGCCTGGAGGAAGATTACTCTATTCGTCTACTTCTAATCGAATTCAAATTAAATTAACTGCAAAACAAAGCTGAAAAAACAAAAATAAATAAATAATTTATTTAGTAAAAGTAAAAATAAAATATTTATGTTTTAGAGTGATTAAAAGTGTTATTACTTAATTGCAAGACATGAAAACATTAAATAAAATTTTTAAAGAGGTTAACTTCAATGGTAAATAAAATAAAATAAAATAAAATAAAATAAAACTAAGAGACATGACAGAGTGTAATAATAATAACGGCGGCGTCCTCGTTTGCTGTGTTTGCCGAGCGCTTGCCACACGCGAATGTGACAAATAACGATGACGCGCGTCGGCGGCAGCGGAGGCGGCTGGCGTGTACGTAAATCGTAATGCAAGTAATGCGTCGCATGGACGCACGGTAAAGTAGATCCCTATTAAGCGATGCATTCGCCTTGGTGTTGCCCTTTCCACTGCATCGCCCAGTCGCCCTCTTGCAGCATAGCATAACGAAGCAGAAGCAAAAGCGTGGTTAGGGTCGGGTGATGCGCAAGACGACCTTCTGGGAGCCATATTAGGGTCATCAACGAATGCTCGTTTGGGTTAACGCACTCTGGGAGATCTTTTTATTTTATATATTTTTTATTTTATTTTTTACATTTCAAGGAATCAAGATTTAAATCACTGAAGAAAATATAATAAAAATATGAGGATAAATATTGTAATATTGTAATATAATTTTATTACATTTTTTTTATTAATGAAAAAATGGTTTTTATTGAAAAATATTAACATATAGACAGTTTATGAGGTTATAGTGAGGTGTTTTATATCAAGAAACAAAAAATAATCAAATGTTTGAATTTTACGTGGATTGATATTAGATTAATTTTTTGTTGCGCTGGTTATAAACTCAATTACTCTTGTATAAATGCCGGTAAATATTTCCTGAAGTCTAAATATGAATTCCGCGTCGCTCAGTTGTATTCACTTGTGTTATGTTTAAATGATTTTGTTGTAACGTAACGTGCACCCCAACAAATTAGCTGAAAAATCGTGCTTAAGTTATAGAAATTTGCATTGCAATTTGTAGGGATGTTGGGATCATAATTACAACAATATTTCAAATGTTACCATCGATGTCATGTCTTTGAAAAAATATTCTAGCTCATAATTGCTTGAAATTAAAATATTTTTCGTCGTTACACAGAGAAACTGTAACACTATAACGAGGAAATTAATATAAACCAGTCAAATTGTACAAATTTCGTTGTTATACAAGTTTATCGTTAAATCAATACTATAATGTATTAAATTTTGTAGTCCTATGTTGGACTTGCGGTATACATACCGAACATAGGACTAACAATGTAATTTTTCAAGTTTTTGTTTATTTTTCGTTATAATAAGGAAATTAATTTATAATACATATAAACTACTAACTTTAACCCTTGGCTTCGCTCGCAAATATCTAAAATAATGAAGTAGAATGGCGGGAAGTTTAAAATGGCTGAAAGTATAGTCTATGGAAGTATAGTGTACAGTCTCCATAGTGTAGTCAATTGGATTTGATGTTGACGTAGCTGTCGGTAATACAGTGTGATGGTACTATAATACTTAGGTTTGAGCTTCATTGCTGGAATGATAGATGGCGTTAAAGTAGTCAAATAGCCAGATGCAGAGGTATTATTGGCTAAAGAATTTCATTATTTTATTTAAAAAATAATTTTTTTTATTAAATAAAAAGTAGCCTATAACCATTTGGGGACCACTAAGAATATGTGTACAAATTTTCATGATGATCGGTTAAGTAGTTTTTGCGTGAAAGTGTAACAAACATCAGGACTTTCGCATTTATAATATTAGTAGGGATAGTATTATGTTCATTTTTGTTAATATTGAAATTGATAATACATTATCTTGATGTCTTGCTAAGCCTTGCTTGCTTAGTTTGTCGACACACATTTATTAGGCAGCCACCGCCCAAAACCAAGAGTATGATTAATCGCAACGTGCGAAATGCGGAAACTCGGATAACACGAGACCCAGAAACAACTGAAGCAACAGTATGTACAATGTACATGCAAATTACGCCTTAGTCTAGTCCTATAAATAGAACCACTGAGCAATTACTCTGTTCTTTTCAAAAGTAAACATTCAATAGACTTAGATTAATCACTCAATACTTTTATTATTAATAATTTATTTTGATATTAAAGTTTCTTGATGCTTTTCCTTACAGAGAGTCGATTGTTTAAATAAACTGCATTTAAAGCAGTTGCAATTACAGCATCAATGTTTTCATTGGTTTTTGCTGAACATCTCACGTATTTACTGATTTTTAGATGTTCTTGCATTTTTATGATGAAGCTTTCGTTGATTATTGAGTCCAAATCATTTTTACAACCTGAAATTTATTGAATTTTAATGTTTATCTTAAAAATTATGAGTAAATAATTACCAACTAAAATACGTATTGCATTACCGCAGTGTTCTTTGACTTCCGGCAGCCATTTGCTTTTCAAACTATCTAATGTACCAATTGTAGCCAAATTAAAACAAAACAGTATTATATCAACCTAAAAAACATTAAATTCTTTCATTAACCTTTCTTTCTGTTTTAAATCATTAATAATTATTGATTAATACCTCAGCGTATTGTAAGAATCTCAGTGATTTAAATTCTGGTAATGCTGAACAATCTCGAATGTGTAATTCGTGATACTTTGAATATTTAACATATTCATTGATTCTGTAAACAAAAAAGTTTAAATATTATCAATTTACTTTTAATTTTTTATAAAATTACTTACACTGTAGGTGAATGGTTCATCAAAAACGTCTCTTTGACATATCGTTCAATTAGGGAGGTTTTCCCTACGGCTTCATCACCGATAACCAAAATTCGTACTTGTTTCATGGTTATTTCAGTGTTTTTGTTACATTTTACAATGAATCACAAAGAATACTGAGTAGATTTAGGTGTAAAACATACAAACTGCACTAGATTTATAAGATAAGATAAGAGAGATAATTATTAGTAATTGAGAATGATTGTAATAATGATATAATTGATAAGAATGCTTGAAATGTGTGAAATTCTGTTTTGAATTGTGAAGGACATTACAGAGTTTTGTTTGGTAGAATAGTATGAGACTTGAGCGGCAGAGGGCGCTGCATGTATCAGCTGTGAGTTTATTCGGTGAGTTTATTCCGTGGCGTGATGTCGAGTTTTATCTAACGTGCAATCTATCAAAACAAAGATAACAGTGAAAACAAAACACAACGAATTGAGATATATAACAAACATAAACGTGCAGTGTTTAGTTTTTAAGACGTAGTGTAGACGTGAGTAAGACATTTCGTTTTAATTATTTCTTTTACAAAACTTAAAATTGCTAGAATTTAAGCAAAAATATGACAATAAAATTGTGCGCGTGTGTGTGGTTCAATGACAAATTATCGGGTTCAATTAGAGGCACTCATCACCATTAAATGTATGTATTTCAATTTATTTCTATTTATCTCTTGAGTGAATTCTTTTTACATTGCGGCCGTATCGTATATTGACTATTATTTCGTCTGAAATGTTTCAGTCTTCATGTAGTAGTAAATGGTGTATAATTAGTTGCATATCACTATGAGTCTAATAAGTCTGCAGAATTTAAAAAAATATGTCAACAATGATAATTTATATGATATTTATAATGACTTTTAGCAATATATTTAAAAGTAATGCGATATTTTGTGATATTATCCTGTGAAACACTAAAAATGTTTTGTTATCAAACAAAACAAGAGATAATATCAATAATTAATAATTTAAAATTGAATTATTCTTAATTATTGATATTAATAGTAATTTTCATCACTTTTTCAATTTTTAACTCACAATTGATACCAAAATGACAAATTCTATAAATTTTCGTAAATAATTACTAAAAATAATTTTAACAAGCAGAAAATTTAATATATTAACCACAATTTTTCCCAAATCAATTTTTTTCTCTGTTAATACGCCAGGATAATGATCGTCTGACCGAAAAGCGCATTTATTTTCTTCGCTCCCTCGACGTCTAGCTGTTTCTAAACGATAGACGTCTTCACTCACTGCTAAGCACCGCTTTCCTTTTCGTTATCATCATTATTATTAGGTTTACGTAGTGCACATTCGCGTGGCCGTCGCCAAATCCCTCAGATCGTTGCATTGCAAGCGAAATCTTCCTTCTTTTCTCTATCTCTGGGGAATCTTAGAGTCTAAGAGTATAGAGTTTCATTCACGTGAATGAATGAAGACTTAGTACTTACTTCATGGGCATCTTTGGGAAAGTTTTTCTTGTCAAATGCGAATCAATCGATTAAGACAAGACAAGATTAAGAAAACAATAGAACTATAACAATTTAAGAATGATTAGAACAAACAAGATTATATAAAGCGTAAAAAGCAAAAAAAGTAAAGGAAAGAGACGAAATTTGTATCAGAAATAAAATTTGAACAAAAAATAACAAAAAATTACGTTTGTAGTCCTATGTTCGGCTTGTATACCGCAAGTCCAATATTGGAATACAAAATTTAATATAGCGTAGTCTTGATTTAATGAAACACTCTGTATAACGATGAAATATGTATTATTTGATTGGTTTTTATTAATTTCCTCGTTATAGCGTTACAGTTTCTCTGTGTAACGATGAATAATATTTTCATTTCTACCAATTATGAGCTAAAATATTTTTTCTGAAGACATGACATCGATGGTAACATTTAAAATGTTGTTGTAATTATGATCCCAACATCCCTACAAATTGCAATGCAAATTTCTATAACTTAATCACGATTTTTCAGCTAATTTGTTGGGGTGCACGTTACGTTACAACAAAATCATTTAAACATAACACAAGTGAATACAACTGAGCGACGCGGAATTCATATTTAGACATCAGGAAATGTTTACCGGCATTTTTACAAGAGTAATTGAGTTTATAACCTGCGCAAAAAAGATTAAACAAATTCCAACCCACGCAAAATAACAAAATTTATTTTTTATTTTTATTAAATATTTTGCATATTTTTAAAAAACAATTGGCAAAGAACAAAGGATTGTATCTTGTATAAATTTTTATATAACGTGATGCAAGCATAATAAATTTCCATGTTGTTGCCTTGCCAAGAATAATCAAGGCATAACATAGCGATGTTCCGAAGTAATATTAATGTGCAGCGCCATTCAATCCATGGATTATGGATTAAAGTGGAATCAAAATGCAAACGAGCGTTTATCAATCCTTTCCGGTTCATCGCAAGCAACCATCGACCGCAAATAATAAATGATGAATTATCACGAAACGACGTTGTGCATTAAATATATATTTTCGTACTTAATATTAATATTATAATAAAAAAAATAATTTTGAGGTTATTTCTTAATCTACTCGTAGAAATTAAATTATATCTTATTAAATGATTGATTGTTTGACTGTTTCATGCGCTATTAGTTATAAATATGATTATGGGATTATGGAATTATAGGATTTCGAATATCTGTTTTTATTGCGCTTGAGGCGCATCCACCAAATGTGTCGATGCGGAAAAAATGAAAGACGCGCGTAAGAAAGTGAAATAAAAATAGAAGTGGTAGAAGAAGCGGAAGCGGCGTTTTTACCGCCAGCGCCGCAATTTGATGGGGGGCTTTAAATAAAAAATAAAAATAATAAGAAAGATTGACAGCGGCGCGTAGATTAATCATCGTCGTTTACGTTTTTTTTTATGCTGCGAGCGTTTTCGACGTTCGGCGCCTCGCAAGCGGCCGTAAATGGAAGTTTTCGTATTAGTTGCGAACGCTGTGTGAGGCGTTAGATGTCAATGCAGACACGTACTTAATTTTATAAACAAATATTAACAAAATTGACTCAAAAAGATAATAATTTAATCAAAATTTTAATAAAAAAATATCAAGTTGCTAAAAGGGAGTTTTAGTCACGGGATTGATTAAGGGCGAGTTTGGCGAGTGTTTAATAACGTTTAGTCACGGAATGCTTATCATATTCTTTCTACTACCACTCAAGTTCCAAGTAAAAGGTTTTATATTTCAACTTTTGCATTTTAAATCATCGAAATTCGACAAATGCGCATGCGCAAGCTCCGTCCCGTAGATAATGTCCGTAGATAATGAATATTACTCACGACTTGATGGTTCGTATATAAAGTACGAATTTTTGTGTCGTAAAACAAGTAGAAATAGAAAAAAAAAGATTTAAATTTTATTAATACTACTCTGCATTATTCTAGTGCTCTAGAAACTATTAAGATATGATTAATATGATAAAATTTAATAAAACATTTTAAATGATTAAAAATTAATTTGCGCGCACACCGGGTGTGAAGTCTAGAAGTGTGAAACAGTGAACTGTGAAGACTTTATAATATCCAAGTTGTCGACGATCGTGCATCAAAAGTGTATCAAGATAAGTTTCGGGAAACTTTATCCGATGCGCGGCGATAAATCACTCGGAAACGTCGGCGTCCGTGCAACCAAATATTAACATAGTTATAGTACACTCGCCAAAACAGGATTTTTTCGTAAAATGTGAAAAATATTTCGTTACGCTGCATGAATTCACGTTTTTGGAAACACGTAGTGTTTCTGGGGTGTAAGTGTGGTTGCGGACGTGCATGTCACATCAAAGCGACATAACCAAAGACGAGCGCAATAAAAATAGCACACATTTGAATAAATGCGAGAATGCAAATGGTGGCAACCACTAAAATATTCCATTTTTAGAGGAAACTCGTGATACGTCGCGAAAAAATGTCTGTTTGGTGTTGAATGTCGAAAAAAGTATCAAAATGCACACCTGAGATATGATCTTTTGGTTTAAACATGAGTATGGGTACAGGGAAAGGACGTGTCATGTAAAAAATATCAAAAAATGTAAAATTTCATTTTAGGTTCAACTTTCAAGTGCAAAAATGTCAAATTTTATATAATTTATTAAAAACACGTGACTTTTAGTATAAAAAATAATTTACCTTTTTTTGGTAAAGAGAAATACTAATAATGAAGTTTAACTCCATCTGGGGTTCTAGTATTCAACTAGAACTATAATTGAATCTCCGTATTAACTTTTTTCCTTATTTAACACTCTTACAGGAACAATTTTTGATATTTTAATAATTATTCTGCTATAATGCACCAAGACAAATCCAAAAAGTCGTAGATCATCAAAATCTGTTGACCCGCTCTTGAGTTATAAAAGGTGTAACTAACACAACTCTGTTTTATATACTAACTAGCTTTAACCCGCGGCTTCGCTCGCAAATATCTAAAATAATGAAGTTGCTTCCGTACGCGTCTGTAGTCACAGAAGAAGTAACAATGAAGTAGAATGGCGGGAAGTTTAAAATGGCTGAAAGTATAGTCTATGGAAGTATAGTGTACAGTCTCCATAGTGTAGTCAATTGGATTTGATGTTGACGTAGCTGTCGGTAATACAGTGTGATAATACAGTGTGATGGTACTATAGTACTTAGGTTTGAGCTTCATTGCTGGAATGCTAGATGGCGTTAAAGTAGTCAAATAGCTTGATGCAGAGATATTATTGACTAAACAATTTCTTTATTTTATTTAAAAAATAATTTTTTTTATTAAATAAAAAGTAGCCTATAACCATTCGGGGACCACTAAGAATATGTGTACAAATTTTCATGATGATCGGTTAAG